CACCCACGTATCACTCGTTTCCTCCGTGGCAACCTGAGACTGAGGTCGGTACAGCACACTAAGGTGCCCTCATGGGACCTGGCTGTGGTTCTGGAGGGCTTATGTAATGCCCCCTTTGAACCCATAGAGGAAGTTTCAGTCAAGTTGCTCACGCTCAAGACCATCTTTCTCCTCGCTATTTCCTCACTTAAAAGGATAGGGGTTCTTCAGGCACTTTCTGTTTCGTGCCTGGAATTTGCTCCAGGCAAGGTTAGGGCATTCCTTTACCTGAGGGTCGGGTATGTCCCTAAGGTGCCCACTTCTTCACCAGGGCCCATAGTACTTCAGGCATTCTGTCCTCCTCCATTATGGTTCCCCGAGGGAATGAGACGCTGCGTCTCTTTGCCATACTTCCTGCATCCCTGCAGGCACTACTTCATCGAAGCTGACTTGTGCTTTGCCGGATGCGCTTTTATACTTCCTGGTGCTTACGTCACCCCGCTCGTGACGTCTCGCTGCTCCATTGGGCTGATTTGACACGTGCTTCAGAATGCGGTCACGCAGGGATGTTCCCAAAGTGAATCTCGACGCAGCGTCTCGTTCCCTCGGGGAACCATGGTTACATACGTAACCTAGAGACGTTTTCAGTAAGTATTAAACAGAGTTAGTGCGATAATACCCTTAAATCGATTATAACTTAGCATACAACATCCACAATTATTTATTATTAAAATAACTTCTATCATAGTAACTCACAGTGATATACAAACTAGTCTCGCATTCAAAACTTTTGGGAACATCCATTTATTTCATTTACAAATTATGAAAGAATAAAACTGTAATTGACCCTGAAATATATGAGGCAAGTTTTTTTTTTTTTTTTAATGAGCCATGAACGCTTTCTAACCTTAGTATGCATCTGTTAGCTTGACAACAAGGACAGAGCGCTTTACTGGTTTAAAAGAAATCAACACGCATACACAACAGACATCATACACAGCCAGTTTCATTGGTTTGTGGCCGTCAAACCGTCACATTCATGGCAGGAGAGGAGACTGATGTTTCTCGAGCCACAGCATCTAGACAACAGCCTTTGTTTGCAAACATAAACACAGTTTTACATTTAAAAAAATACAATTGCACTGTACATTATACAAATCAAAAGCCAACAGGAACTCCTAGAAATGCACAAACCAAAGACATAGAAAAGACCGCTGGGCAATGATAGTTCAGGTAATTCACACTGTGCTGTGAGGCTGCACAATGTGTGTCCATTGGTTTATTATGTGTGTGCAAATAGGCTCGAGTCTCTAGTCGTTTGTGACTGCTGCGGTAGAAACGACACCCGTGGCTCTTATCTGACCAGATGAAAGGTCAGCCAGTACATGAACACGGGCTGAGCTGCAGCGATGGCCATCGTCAGGTACATTCGCAGCTGGTTTTTTGCTTCTCGCACTAACCGTCCCTCTGCAGCTGCTTCAGACAGAATCTTTAACCGTATTGTGCGAATCTGAAACGGAAAGAAGCTGCTTCACATCTTGAGATCATATCCGAAATGAGATTCAAACTGAAATCTGCTGTACTATTTAGACACTCAAACATATGCTGTAATGCTAACTTAATATTCAATACATATGGGGCTGCAGTCATTTGATCAAAAATACAGAAAAAACTGTAATATTGTGCAATATTATTACAATGCAAAACATCTGTTTTCTATGTGAATATCTGTTCAAATGTAATTTATTTCTGTGATGCGCAGCGGAATTTTCATTACTCCAGTCTTCAGTGTCACATGATCTTCAGAAATCATTCTAATATGCAGATTTGCTGCTCGAGAAACATTTCTGATTATTATAAGAAATATTTTTGTGGAAACCGTGATTCATTTTATTTATCAAGATTCTTTGATGAATAGAAAGCTCACAAGCTCTTTTGTAACATTATAGATGTATTTACTGTCACTTTTGACCAACTGAATGCATGCTTGATGAGACATTTTATTTACTTTAAAATATTACTAATAATAATAATAATAATTATTATTATTATTATTTTGGAAATTGCTTTACTTTCACATGGCAGTTCCTGCATGTAACCGTTGTTGTTTTTTAATAAATAAATAAAGAGATACATAAACAGTGAATTCTTTGCGCATTCGTAGTGTGTAATGCACAGTCAAATCACAGAGTTTGAATAAAACAACACTTGCTAAAATAAAGATTGTGGGGAATAACAGAAACATGTACACTGGCAGTATGAACAGCAAAATGAAGAACATATTTGCTTTGAAATGACAGCTCTGTATCTCTCAATACGCACCGTAAAAACAAAAGTAGAGACGCAGCACCAGAGCAGTGAGAGGTAATATCCCATCTGGCCGAACCGAAGTCCTGCTAACACTCCCACAAACATCCTGAGCAAACAAGCACAGCAAGAATTCACACAATGGCATGTCTATGTTTATTAACACACTTAAGTAGACTTTTAAAAAGTGCACTTTGTAATAATTATTAAAATTAAAATTGTCAAAATTAAAGTTTTACTTTAAAGTACATTTGAAATCATTATGCTTTAATAATCAATTCTTGCAAATGCTTTGAGCATTCATAGTGTGTAAGTCAAATCGGAAGAGTTAAGGCACTTTTTCTTTTTTTTCTTTTAAGTCAAATGGAGAAACTAAACACTTGTTATCTAAAAACATTGAGCCAAAGGGGCTCAAGGGCAGATCTTTAACAGCTAGAATAATGTTGTGTGATGAATGTGTGCACTAACAGCAGTGCGATGCTGGCTCACAGGCTGTAAATTCTCACAGTATCAGCTGTAGATAAGAGTTCAGTGCTCTTATCGGTTCTGTGTGCCCAGAGCCAGTCCTGCTACCAGGATATACGTAATGAAACCCACCACTGCGGAGTCAGAACGAAACATATGCATGCATGTAATAAACATCTCCATGACTGTACGCTCCCTCATGAATAGGCAACAACAGCATGTTTAAGTTGTGCAAAGCATTAGAAACATATGGTTTGGAGTCATACCGGGAATGTAGAGATCAGGGGCGTTGACATCAAACCGCGGGGCGACTGGAGTGTCCTGCTGATAGCTCACCTCCCAGTTCTACAGAGAGCAGGACATCACACAGACATTCATTCAGAAATCAATCAATGAAAACGAGTCCATATGGCTTGTGTGCTATACACAGCATTTTCTGAGCTTGACAGACTGTGGTCACAATACAGTCTTCAAAACCTCTCCTTTTTGAGTTCCATGGCAGAAAGCAAATGAAGGGTTTGGAAAAACATAAGTATGTGATTTTTGCTTGTTTATTAATTTTGTAATGCCATGTTAGCATCAATGCTATTCACATGGCAAACACAAGGTCAGCATCATAATCCATAGAATTTTAAATTACTATATAAAACATTTTAATTTGACATAAGACAATTCAGGTGATACATCCACTTAAACATGCTTCTGAATAAAAACGTTTTCGGGCAGTATTATAAAAATTACAGTCCAACAGGATATGTTTAACAGTCAAAGGAGCTTGACATGAGAGAGACACTGCCGCTCAAAAGTTTGGGAGCAGTAAGATTTGTAATGTTTTTACAGAAGTCTCTTCTGCTCATCAAGGCTGCATTTATTTGATCAAAGATACAGTAAAATCAGTAATATTTTGAAATATTATAACAATTTAAAATAGCTGTTTTCTATGTGAATATATAGCAAAATTTAATTTATTCCTGTGATGCGCAGCTGAATTTCCAGCATCATTACTCCAGTCTTCAGTGTCACATGATCTTCAGAAATCAGTGTAATATGCTGATTTATTATCAATGTTGAAAACAGTTTTGCCGCTTCAGATTTTTTTTAGAACCTGTGATATTTTTTCAGGATTCTTTGATGAATAAAACATTAAAAAGAACAGCATTTATTCAAAATATAAATATTTTGTAATAATATACACTACTGTTCAAATAGTTTGGGGTCAGTATTTATTTATTTTTTCCAGCAAGGATGTGTTAAATTGATAAAAAGTGATAATAAAGACTTTCACAAGGGTACCTATTGCAACTGTGTAGGTCTGTAAATGTGGTCTTACGTCATGCATGTACGGAAACACCAGCAGTCCAAGCTTCTTGCCCACATATACAGTGTCTACTGCAAAGTAGTACTTCAGCTTAGAGATGGGGATGAACCGATCCAGCTGTGAACCAAAAGAGAACTCCAAGATAATAACATATTTCATCAAAAATACAGAATCAAGCCTGCGGCGGCTCTGGAAAAAAACAACACAGACGTGCTCTTCTGCAGCACAGCAAACACACAGACGTCCGCACTCAATGAAATGACTTCATGTGTCGAGGCATGACGTATGTTCTTGTCCATCATCTCTTTGCCGTGGGAGGCCAGGCTGCTGCCGTAGGCCATGGCGAGGTTAGACATGGGGTCTGAGAGCAAAGCCTGTCCCGGATACACATCAGGGCCTTTTCCCACACCGCTGTGCTCGTGTCTGTTCCCTCCAGCGCTAGTGTCGTCAAATAACAGACTGGGGTCACCGGGGTCCATCGGGGTCCCTCGCATCCTGACCTCCGGCTCTAGAACACAAACGATCACATCTACGTCAGCTATCATCCATATTACTGTAAATGTTGGCAAAAGCCCACAGCAGACAGTCACAACACTATGGAGGTTGAAACCTGCAAAAACAATAAATAAATAAATACACAAATAAATAAATAAATGTGTGCATAAATACACGTATTCTTGTTTAAATACATAAATAAATAATTATACATGTGATGAAAGTAGGTTAATTGCAATACTGAACCGTTATTTGCTTAATAAACATACTTTTGTCTCCTGTATTTTCTGTTCTGATAACTAATGGGAAAAAACTGTCCGTTCCTCGATTAAACCACTTCATACCAGTCATCTCACGATGACCAAGGGATACTGATTTTTGCAGGTTTCGTCCTCCATACAACACTCCTATAATGCAACTCATTCGGGTTTATCCGCTAATCTGACATCTGACAGATTCCGATGCTCTGATCTATTGAATGTTTGTAAACAAGCAAATAACTGCGTTGGAAGAAAGACAAAACAGAGCAAGAATAAAGAGCAAAAAACACACTTATTTAATAAGCAAACAAGCACACATCATATTCAGTTGATCATGAATCATGATATAGCAAATACGATCAATCACTGTTAAAGCTACGTAACTAACGCTGTCTGAACTCCATCTCTCCCAAAAATGTGTCTTTGTTTAAATAGTGAGGTTACAAAAAACAGACATAAGTATTTATCAGCACATTCAGCCGTCTAACCGAGAAGCTGCCGGTAACGAAACTAAAATTAGCAGGACAACTAGAGAGGAAGAGCGAATGAGTAAATGACATCACTTCCGGGTCACGCATATGGCTTTGGAAGACTTTCTTCATTTTGCAAACATGTCTTTATAACACATACAACCTATTATATCGTGTTGTTGTTGCTGTTATGTTAAATGGTGCATGCTGTCATTTTATCTCAGTCATTTCATTGATGTTTGACTTTTGGTATAATGTTATTTATAGTTAAGTAGCCTATATATTTTTCTAAAAAGAAAAAAAAGCTTCTTTTTTTTTAATAAAATTGTATCAGTGATGGGAAAGCTAGTGTCACAATCATCGGTCATGCAGTCATTCATTTGAATTATTTAATGAAATGCTTCAAATATTAATAAAATCACGCATGAGCTCAGATTTTTGTTATATATATATATATATATATATATATATGTTGCTGATTTCCCCCAAATTGTTCTTCAGGGGGCTGTGAGGGATTACACAGTCAGATCACACGACGTTTTTTCATGTTATTATAGTTGTATACTAGAAAGTTGAATCGTTTAAACATTAATTTTGAGGACTGGTGGCTGAACTAAAAATGTATGTTTGCTCCACTGATCTATAATAGAGAATTATACCCTCCTGGGACTCAGTGGACATTATATTTTAGTGAATTTCTCTGAGACCGACCGTACATGAGAGTTTTAAGTCTGGATGTCCTGTACAGAGCACGTTCAGGGCTTTTCAGAGGTTTGATCATAAACACTCCCTCTCCTTCACTGTAAAAAATGACCATGAATTTAACGGTAAAAGACTGTAAAAAATGCAACAATAAAAACCTATTAAATGGTTAACGGTAAATTCCCCTACTATATACGGTGAAAAACTGTATTGGACATTACATGTATTGGACATTAGTTTTACGGTAGTATACCGTTTTTGGAAGTGAAAAAGACTGTATAATTTACAGTGAATAACCGTTAATTGACATTCCCAGAATTCCCTGCGCTACATTTCAAATTTGATATTTTTTTGTTGAAATAACTATGTTTCTTCTTAGTTTTTTCTCATCAGTTTTGTATATTAGGGTTGTGTGTTACACCTAATGTTGTTAAATAAATGTTTATTGCATTATTTCAGTTTCATGTGCGTTACCGTGATGGCGTTTGTGTGAATGACACTGTGCACCTTCTATATATGTTATTATTTAAAAGCTGCTTGTGATTGGCTTTGGTTCATCATGTGACTTTCTCATCACCACCTGCATTTGGTGGTTATCAGTGTATTACAAAGGTACAAAACAGATTTCAGTACTTCATTAGGTTGGTATATTAACATTATATCAGTTAATGAAATGACGGTATTTTACTGTAAATTTAAGATAAAACCGTAAAACCTAAAACTTTGCTACCGTATTTTTTATGTTAAAATTCCGGCAACCACAGCTGCTGGTTTTTTACCGTAAATTTTATGGATTTTTTTTTACAGTGTTGGTCTTTAAATATGACTGATACTGACAAAATGATCAAATGTAGCACTCTTAGGGAAATATGATAATGTTTTGTAATTATCATTTAAGTCTGGCTAATTTTCAAATTGTTTGTCGTGAAAAAATAAAAATAAAAATCTCAGAAAAATGTTAAGAGTTTCAGATCGGAATCTGTAGAGGACACAAACGGCATGTTAATCAGACATTTCGGGGGAAATTATAGATCCATATTCCTATGAAATATGAGATATTCTTATGAAAATGTTGCCAAGTTATTACTCCCATTATTACACTTATTTTTTTCATTACGGTTTGCCCCAAGAACACATTCATATGCAAATTAGATGCGATGTATAGATACATTGTATAGAATGGAAAACCCAATTTATGGACATTTTATGCACATATTGCATAAAGCAAAACAGTATATCAAATCATTCTTGTTATATCTTTTATAACATAGTTGAGAATCATCTTTGTACAAAGTTTGTTAATGCAGTTGTCTTAGCTGTGTGAGATGATCAACAACTCGCACCGCAGTGCAAATAGTGCACGATTCAGAGTGAAAATGACTGGTTGTTAAAATGTTTGATTGATTAGTATTATATGTGAATGCAGTTAATCATATTTTTGTTCTAGAATAGTTAACTCTTACCATAGTCTAGATTTATATAGAATTTTTCTACATTCAAAAATGTAAAAATTCAGATTCTCTTCTGGTTTTGATAGGGGCATTTCCAGTTCACATAATTTTATAATTGGTTATTTTAAATGATTTTTTTCTGTTTGTAAACAGCAGATGTATGTTTGGAGATGCTCATCGTCTTTCACTCCACTGCATGCTCCTAATGGCCACAAACTACCCCTACATCCTCGTCATGAGAGCAGTTGTTTTTGCCCAGTTTGGTGTGTTTGCAGTGCAGTAGAGTTCGTTCAGTTCCTTCGCACTCCACGTCGTCCAGCAGGATTCTGACGCCGACGCCTCCCGCCCCGAGCTCAGCTCTCTTCGCCACCCGCAGAGCCACGGGAAACCCCATCTGCCTGCAGACCACCGCCGCAGCCTGTATGTTAAACATGTCGTCGCACACCGTGCCCCATTCGCCCCGCACGAAGATCTCCACTCGGCCGCGGTCCTTCTGTCCGATTGGTGAAGGAAAATATAAAACATTGTTTTTGCCTATACATGCCTTTTCTATTTATTTTGAATAACTTAGTCCTGGCGTCCTCTACATATAATAAAATATCTTTTTTTCAAAAACGTTTTTTCTCCATTTGTTTCTTAAGCTGCAGCCAATGTAATGACATAAAGAAACAACAACAAAATTCACAAACATTTTTTATATGTTTCTCAGGAGGATACAGATCAGTGGTTTGCTCTTAAAATTTGTATTTTTACACCGAGTCAATTGAAGAAAAACACGTGATTGGTCTATATAGCCCTTATCAAAATATATCTCTGTGATCTTCACCACAAACAATTTAATTTACATTTTTAATTATTACAATATAACAAAGAATGTCCAGCATTTGTGTTTAAAATCAATCATCATTTGCAATTAAACAAGAAATGTATATGTGCAACAAAAATGCAATATTTACATAGTAATAACCTGAATTATGTTTGAAAAAGACATTGATCCCTTGATCTCATGATTGCTAGATGGATACACTTTAATCAGTTTTTGTTTGAATTTCACCATCACCTCATATGTGACCCTGGAGCACAAAAACAGTCTTAAGGATCAATTTTTCATCTTAAAACTGAATAGATAAGCTTTCCATTGATGTATGCTTTATTAGTATCGGAGAATATTTGGCCGAGATACAACTATTTAAAAATCTGGAATCTGAGGGTGCAAAACTCGGCCGCGGTCCTTCTGTCCGTCTGCGCTGACCAGCCGCGCCGTCCCGGCTCGAGGTCGACCCCTCCGCTCCCCTTTCTTCCTGGGCTTGCCTCGGCCTCGTTTGCCCGGTCTGCCGGTTTGGGTGTTTGCTGTGGTTTTGGGTGCCGTCGTCCAGTACGAGGGTCTGAGGGTGGTCAGAGACGGAGGTCTGGGCCGCGGGGTCGTGTGGACAGCGCGCGGCTGTGGTGTAGACGGTCGAACGGTGGTCGCTGGAGGAACCCGGCGGGTGGTCATTTGTGGTACTCGTGGTTGTGGGGTCGCACTGGGTTTGGTGGGTTTTGGTTTGGGAATGGCAGTTGTTGAGGGTTTTTTGTTAATTACATACTCTGTGAAACAAAAAGATAGTGTCAAAAAACTACGAACACTTTAACAGAGTACCTCAAGACAATTTAGGGGAAAAATGGAATTCTGACTGAAATAGTGATTGTGATTCAAAATGCGATTAAAAAACAATTACAGGTTTGCTGTGTTTGCTTGTTTGTAGGGCTGCACAATTTGGCCCAAATTTTGTGAATCCACATCAAATACGGTTATAAAATAATAAAATGTTACATAAATAATAATAATGATAATAATAATAATTATTATTACTACCACATGTAATATATAATAATCTTATATATTAATAATAATTATATTATTATTGCTACTACTACTACTAAAAAAAAATACTAAAAAACAAAATAAGAAATATTACTATTGTAATATATCACTGAAAAATAAAAATAAGTGTTTAAGAAAAATAATATAATAATGATAATTTCATTTTATATACAACAGCAAAATTATAATACTAATATTTATGGCTGTCTTAATTTCTTCATTTTCAAACATTAAATATTTTATTTTTAAAACATCGAAATGTTATTTTTGGCCAAAAACTGCAGGGAGCACTTAAGGATTCTCATTATAAGTTTGTGAAGATGTCTTGCAAGTTGTGTTCCCAAACGCATGTTAAAGCAACTCAAACTCAGATCAGATGCAGAGATGGAGATCATGTGAAGCAGAAGTTACTGTGAATAGAGATGCTGAAAACACTGGATCATGAGATGCTCATGTGTAAATGAACACTGTGCCACGCATCGCTCTGGAACACGCACCACATATTTATTTAATTAAATCACAGCCTTTAGAATTTAATAATCGCACTAAACCATATCACAGTGGTTGTATTTGTATTAATCATACAGCGCTACTCAAGACACACACCTCCAATGGGATAAAGGTATGTTTACTGGTTCTCTTACCTTCTTTAGGACTGAAATGAATCAGTTTGCCCTTTATGTTGACTGGAGTGGGCTTGAAGTTGCATTTTCCTGGAGGAGCCCTCCTAAAGAGTGAAAACAAAAAAGTCCAACTGTTTATTTCACAGCTGTTGCAATCAAAAGTGCAAGCACAAACCTTTACACCCTACAGTGCATAATAGGGTAAACATCACTATTAGTATTGCTCATGTGAGTGAATAAATGACAGGGTTGTTGTTTTCTGCAAACTAGTCCTTTAATATTGCTTCAGAAAAGTCTCACTTGATTTTGGGATATTGTGAGAGGTATTTTGGTATACCACTCAAGGATTCAAAAGTTTGTGGTCTGCAAGAAAAATAGAGTAAAAAC